AGGATGTGTGCTGTTTAATCTGCAGAAGCTTGTCACGCTTGCTTCCTGATATGTACTCTACTGTTCTCATCATCAGAGGAGCTTGTTGTTACTGAGGATGGCTGTGGTACTTTTCAGGGGAGCACTGGTCCTTATTTGGAGTGTTGCTTCCTGGCTCCAGTGCAGAACCCTCAGCCTGCTGGTACAGATCCTTCATCTCACTGGCATGGACTTTCTAGCTTTCACCTCTGACCTTCGGGCCTTCCCAGCACAAGCCCTGACTATAACAGGTGATATATTTGAGAAACTGTAGCCTAATCCAATGCCATTAAGATTTATATCCAGATTATATCATTTGTTGTTGTAGCTATTCTGGTCCCTCCATGTCCACATAAGCTCTAAGATCAACTTTTCAATTACAACAAAAAAGACAGGTATTCTTGGTACCTATTCTTGGTACGTGTGTCAGCTGCTGTTTGCCCTCAGCTGTTATCTGTGCTCATCTTAGTCCATTTCGTTGGCTATATTAGAGGACCTGAAACTGGACCCCTCATAATGATCAGAAATTGGCTCCCTGCTCTTGGAGCTAGGATACCCAGGATAAAGGCACATGGAGCAAAGGCAGAGAGAGGGAAACAGAAAAGGGGGCCAAGCTTCCCTTTTCATAAGCAGTCTGCTCAAGATGATGGCACCGATCCCAGTTCCTCTCTGTAGGCCCCACCTTCCAACACTACTGCATAGGACTTAGTTTTAAATCACAGCACTGCCTCAGATAGCTATGTTAACAACTGCCATGGACTGCCAGGCATGGTGGCACACACCTGTGATCCCAGTACTTGGGAAGCCGAGACACGAGGATCGCCATGATCTGGAGGCCAGCCTGGTCTACATAGTCAAGATCAGCCTGGAATACAATAACCCTCTGTCTCCAAAAACCAAAAGATAACTACAACTTTTTTAAAAAGCAGTTGCTACACATCATTTTAACAAACACATCCAGTGAGACCTGAGTCAGTGAAATAATAACTTCATAACTGAGATTTTAAAAACCTGAGATTTTCCAAAGGTGTTTGTCAGCTTTGCATTATTATGAAATACCCAAAGTGCTGAACTGAGAAAGGTACTTTGGCTCAAGGTTTCCAGAGGTTCTGATTCACAATCAGGGAGCTCCACTGCTTTGAGTCATTCACTAGGACAGAAAATCTTGGCAGAAGTGTGTGTCGTGCACTGGCACCGGGAGGGGGGATATTGCTAACAGAAGCTCAGGGAAAGACATGAAAATACTTCACATTCCCAAGATTCTAGGTGTTACCATGGCAACAATATACTCAGGAACTGACAGACTTAAGAAACTATTATAGTTGGAATTAATAAAAAGTTCTTTAGCAGTCCCACTTATTTTTATTGCAAAAATAATTTTACAATATTCTCTGAATTGCGATATGTTAAATAGTAGTAGTAGTATTTACAATCTACCAGAGCGTCTGATTTAGGGAGAGCCTTTCCCTTGCCTTCACTTTAGGGTGAAGAGAAGTGAAAGGCTGGGTGCGGTGGCACACAACTGTAATCCCAGCGCTCGGGAGGCTGAGGCAGGAGGCTCGCCACAAGTTCAAGACCAGCATGAACTACAAAGCAAGACCCTATCAAAAAAAAAAAAAAATTGGAGGTAACTGGAACTGAGACATTTCCTTCGCTGCAGAGTTATGTAGGTGCTGGTATTTCCTAAACATATTCTAATTCACTGAGTAAATAATCAGGCCTAAGAGACCAGGGACTCCTCAGGAGCCCGACTCCAGGGCCTGCAACTGGCTGAGCAATCTGGCCAGTAAGCGGAGAGTTCTATGATTTCTCCATTTCTATTTACGTGAACTTTCTTCTATCCACCCACGGGTCCCCTTTCTCTCTTCCACTCATTCACACAAGGCTAAACGGTCTAAGTTCCTGAGTCCAACACGCTAATTGAGGTTGCTTTCCGAGTCGGTGGAGCTCATATCAAAAAAGTAATTGAAGGCTTAGCTTGGCACCCTCACCTCTCACCACATCCCTGAGTGCCAGAAACAACCCCCGTGCCAGAATGGGCCACTCTAACGCACCCTTGCTTTCTCTCGCCTGTCCAGAGCGCCGTCCAAACCGCACCAGCATCTCTGCTACTTGCCCGCAGCGCGCCAAGACCTGGAGATAAGCGGTGAGTAAAATCCAGCCTGCAGTGTTTTCTAGGCCTTCTGGTTGCTTAGCAACAGACACCGGAAGTGACGAAGGCGGTCGCCGAGGAACCAGGAACGCGCTCCAGTCAGCAGTGTGCCGGAGAACAGAGACTGCGCCTGCGCGGGAAGCGGGGGCGGGACGGGCGGTGGGGTGGGGCTTGTGGGCAGGCATAGTCTCGCGGCCCCAGAGCAGTAGCTGTGCGAGCGGGTCAGGCGCTGGTCACGAGTCAGACTGCTGAAGCCCTGTCGCTGGGCTGTAGGTCAGTGAGGAGTCCTGGGCCCTGGCTTGGCCTGCTGCTCCCATTCCCACCTGGTGTGCGCCTCCTGGTTGCGGTCGACCCCAACTAGGCCCCTGCGTCTACCTCGGGGCTGGGCCTGGCAGGTGTGTGAGTGAGGCCTAGGCTTGGTGTGTGCGGCCCACGGACCTCCTCGCGGGTGGAATGTGAAGAGCAGAGCCCTCTCTTGACTGTAGAAACCCAGGGAACAATGGACATGAGTTGTTTTTTAAGTTACTTATTTCCGAGGTATGATCAGGGTGCAGTGATCTAATTATTTTTAATAAAATAAGAACGTTTAAACTTGGATGTTGTTCCCAAAACATTCATGTCAGTTCCTTTGAGAAATTTTAAATCTGAGTGTATTGGCGTAATCCCAACACTCAGGAGGTGGAAGCAGAAGAATTGAGGTGAGTTCAAGGCCAGCCACAGCTACATAGTGAGTTGAAGGTCAGCCAGAACTGTATAGGAAAACCTTGTCTCAAAAAAATATTTTAAACAATACATAAATTAAGTATGGCGAATTGTATGTGTTTTGGGGACCCCTCATTTTCTTAATAACAACAATCTGTTGAGCGTTCTGACATATAATTGTGCTATTTTTCTGCAGGGTTTCTGTCAGATTCTCCACAGTAGTAAAGCTGGTAAGTATGGAAAGGTCAATACAATATCTATGGTAGAATTCTCTTCACATTCAACACCTGGCTTTTTTTTTTCAAACTGGGGGCCAAGGGTGCTGCGGATTTAGCTCAGCGGCATAAGTGCCTGCCTTGCAAGCAGGCAGTCATGCGTTCAATCCCCGGTACCGATAAAAAGGAAAAAGACCAAAAAAAAGGGGGGGGGGGGATCAAACTCACAATTTTCATTACATGGTTACAAATAAATTTCAGTTTATACATTTTTAAAACCACAATTTTTTTGTTGTTTTATTTTTAAATGGTAAAAAAGGGGCCAGGGATTTAGCTCAGTGGCTCAGGTGCTTGCCTGGTAAGTGTGAGGTCTTGAGTTCGATCCCCAGCACCAAAAATAAAATAAAATAACAAAGTTTTATATTTATTAAAGATACGGAAAAAAACAGTCTGAAGAATAAATTTGGCCCACATAAAAGTAGGAAAATGGGTATGCTATACAGGAGCGAGCAAGCTGTTGTGAGAATATGCAGGAGCCTTTTTTTTTCCCTTTGTTTTTTTTTTGAGACAGGAGCTGACTACATAGTCCACGCTGCCCTCGAAAGCTCTGTGATCACCGCCTCAGTCTCCCAAGTAGTGAGATTACAGGCATGCACCACCATGTTCCACAACATGTGCTGCAGTATATGCTAATTTAAAAAAAATATATGATAAAGATTGTGAAGTTCTTAGTCCAGAGTTTGAAATATAGTCATTTCTCAAGAATATTTGTGATACTGTAAACTTTTTTTTTTTTTTTTTTTTTTTTTACACATAACAGTTCTGGTCTTTCCTGGGTATTTTGTATTATTACTTTTTTTCAAATGATAATTTTCATCCATACCATTTGTTGAGCACCTTAATTTCTCTTTTTCGCTTGAGATCTGTAATTAATGACCTTCATTATCTTTTCTTTGAGGTGCTGGGGATTCAACCCATGACCTGATGCTTGCAAGCCAAGTGTTATGCTGCTGAATTAACAACCCCAGGTCTCTCTATCTTTTAATGAAAACAGTTCTTTGTCACATCATAAGCAGTGATTACTCAAAACACATTCAGATTATTTGGCACCTCTATCAAGAGAACAGATAAAATGTTAGCAAAAGTTATTCTAGTTTGAATGGTTGAATTAACTCCTCATTTTCAAGTAATTCTTTAGAATTCAAGTACACCATTAAATCAGTTAGTTATAACATTAGCACTTAAAAATTGATTTTGAGCCAAATAACTTTTTTAAAAAATTACATTTTACGGGGTTGGGGATTTAGCTCAGCAGCATAAGCACCTGCCTTGCAAGCAGGCAGTCATGAGTTCCATCCCCGGTACGGATGAAAAAGAAAAAGACAAAAAAATTTATATTTTACAAGACATATTCTATATTAAATTTGTTTAGAGTGTTGGTTAGTATACAGTGAATCCATATTATATGTAATGTATAATACGGGGATTATCATAAACATACACTGATACATGAGGCTATAATTAACTTTGAGATAGTAACAATGATTAATGCATTTTTGGCTCTTATAACCTTTATATATTTGACTATAAAAGATTGTTTCATTACTTCTCTTTCTGTATGGCTCTGTAGTTTCATTCTGTGTGCCTAAACAGTCATCCACAGGAACACAATAATGAGTGTCCTCTTTAAATATTTTGTTTTCCATTCACATAAAATACTCAAATATGAATTTTGTTTTTTAGGAAAAAGTGGTTAAGTGATCATCTTAGTGTTTGATCATGTACTTATATTACTTGTTTTAGCAAACTAATATTTATTTGTGTTTTTAAATGAGTATAATAGTCATATATATAAACACTGTATTTAAGGAAGAATATTTTTTCCTTTTTCAAGGTGACCTAAATCTGGAATCATGAAAATTTTGTTGGTGTTTGACTTTGACAATACAATCATAGATGACAATAGTGATACCTGGATTGTACAATGTGCTCCAGACAAAAAGCTTCCTATTGAACTACAAGAATCTTACCAAAAAGGATTTTGGACAGAATTTATGGGCAGAGTCTTTAAATACTTAGGAGATGAAGGTGTACAAGAAGATGAAATGAGAAGAGCAATGACGTCAATGCCTTTCTCCCCTGGGATGGTGGAACTTTTCAACTACATAAGAAAAAATAAGGAGACATTTGACTGCATCATTATTTCAGATTCAAATTCAGTCTTCATAGAATGGATTTTAGAAGCTGCCAATTTTCATGATATGTTTGATAAAGTGTTTACAAATCCTGCAGCGTTCAATAGCCACGGCTATCTCACTGTGGAAAATTATCATGCACATTCTTGCAAGAGGTGCCCAAAGAATCTTTGTAAAAATGTAGTTTTGGAAGATTTTGTAGATAAACAGCTACAAGAGGGAGTGAATTATACTCGAATTGTTTATATAGGTGATGGCGGAAATGATGTCTGTCCAGTGACCTTTTTAAAGAAGGATGACGTTGCCATGCCGCGGAAAGGATACACTTTACAGAAGACACTTTCCAGAATGTCTCAAAATCTTGAGCCCATGGAATCTTCTATTGTAATTTGGTCTTCAGGTGTTGAAATAATTTCTTATTTACAATTTCTAATAAAGGAATAATACACCAACAGTTGAAATATGTAACAGTTAAGATTAGGTTCAGCAGCATAAAACTAAAACCAGAAGTGAAAAAGAAAGAGAAATACAGAAAAAAGAAAGGGTTTTACCTCTCACTTTAGAGAATTCAGAGGTATCTCAAGGCTGTCGTGTCTTACTGTCAACCTCAGGACTTCGTGTCCAGCTCATGATTCAAACTGCAGCCTTCATAGCAACCTTCTGGCTAGAAAGAACGAGGGAAGTGAGATGGTTGCAGCCCCTTATTTAAGGAAACTTCCCAGAAGTTATGCCCAGCACTTCAGTTTAAAAACTGTTGGCCAAAATGTACTCATAACACTCCACTAATTTCTGGGAAAGTATAGAAAGTATAGCTTTCATTTCAAATGGTCACATGTCCAGGAAATTTTGGAAAAAAGAGGAATATATACTTAAGGTAGGCACAGTGAGTGGTGTTATATTAAATCTACCCTAGAGGTAGTTAATAGGTAGATTATATTTTAAATTTATGCCTGGAGAAAGTGGCCATATTTTTAGTCTCTTAGAAAATTATTTCAAAAATATAATCAGTAATTACAGATCTTAAAAATAAGCCCGATGCTTTACTTATGTAAGAATAAAAGACACAGCCAAGCATGCTTTCAAGGCAAGTGTTATGCCAAATGATTTGAATGTGCTCTGAGTATTCACTGCATATAATGTGACAAAGACGTCTCTGTTTTCATTAAAGATAATTAAGAGGCCTAGAGATGTAACTCTGCAGCATAGTCCTTGCCTGAAAAGCATGGGCACCTGGAATTCCAGTACTCTGGAGGCTGAGGCAGGAAGATTGCATTGAGTTCAAGACTGGCCTGAACTACATAGCAAGAGCGTGTCTCTAACATAAAGAAATAAAGGACAAAAAGCACATATATATACAATAACCTCCCAAACCAGTATACTTATTGTTAAGGTTTTCATCAACTAAAGCTTTCCTTTTGAAATGAAAACCAGGCATAGTAGTACACACCTGCAATCCCAGCATTTGAGAGGCTGAGGCAGGAGGATAGCACAAGTTCAAGGCCAGCCTTAAGTATACAGTGAGACCTGGTCTCAAAATAACAACAAAAAACCTGTTTGTAAAAAACAAGCCCATTTGTAAAATGAAAAGTATGCTAATATTCTTGAAATATCTTAGCATCGTAGAAATTAACTATGCTGATTTAATGAGTATGTTTTCCATTTGGCAATCCAGTCTTGAGCAATCCAGTATACAATTCGTAGGAACGGAATATTAGCAGAATACCAACCAATCCAGAAATTTTTATAAATCCATAATTATAGGCTCATATTTTACTCAAATATTTAATCTGTAATGCTAGGATTTTCTTTCCCAAGCTATGGAAAGCTCCAACAATGAAATTATTAGCATAATTTATGGGAAAAATTGATACTCTGTAATATTTTTTCTAAGCTGACAGTATTTTGCTTAAACAGGTAAGGCTGTATTGAAATATATCTTACAAATTTCGTCTACATGTGAAAACTACTAAATTATAGAACTAGAAAAAAGACTATCAGTAATGATTGACCAAGCAATTTGGACCAAGTCTTCTGTGAAGTGTATCTAAAAAACCAAATAGTGGAACAAAATATTAAAAACATTTACTTAAAGACATCAGAGAGTGACCGCAATAAAAAATTTCTAAAAAAACGGAATCTCTAAAAGGCAACTGAGATGTTGAGTGGTTATGCTGATAATCTCACAGGACCATAAGGGTTCTGCAGGCTACCCATTGAGGGAAGGATGATGTAGAAGTAAAAGGCCTTTAAAGGGCTGGAAGCTCAGCCCTGAGTATTCTCTGTCTCTGAAATTAGACTGAAGGTATTTTAAGATTTTTAGAGCTTCCAAGTGCCTTGGAGAAGCAAATCTCAATCTACTTCTCAAGAGGAAAGACAGATCTTAGCTATAGTAGACTCTTAAAGACCCTATGGTTCTTGTCTTTTTTATATTCCTCGTTTGTGTGTGAGATCTGTGAACATGCAGATTATGGAACAGACATGATTATATACACATGGCTACACTGAATTCTGATGCCCACGTTAATGACTTCCATGTTGGTCCTGGGCAGGCAAGCTGCCATGTTGTGAACTGGCCTTTTGGAGGGACCATTCCTCTAATAGTCTACAAGGAACTGACCACTGCGAACAATCAGTTGATTTTGGAAGTGGATCCTCCTCACAGTGGCGCCCCAGTTGAGACCATTCATACCATGATTCCAACCTTAAACCATGAAGCATAGGACCCAGCTAAACTGTGCTTGGACTCCTGACCCATAGAGCATGTGAGAGTTTGTGAGAATGTTGTTGTACAGCAGTGGGAAACCAGTATAGTAGGCTTCAAAATAAATCGAAACAGTTCTGCAGGGACCTTGTAGGTTAAGTAATAGAATGTAACCATACAAAGAGGTGGGTGAAAACTAGCAGAAACATCCATCTGAACAGATATGTGGGGCCTCCAGATTCTGGGGTTTTCAGAAAAAGTTATGAGGATTTTGCAAAGATATGAAGTTACATTAAAAACAAAATGAAACAAATTACAATTACGATGGACTGGAATTAAGATATTAAGGACAACAGAACAGGCATAGCTGAAAAAAGGGAATGAATACAAGTTAGAAGATGTATTGGTTACTTTTCTCTTGTTATTGAGACAAAATATTTGGCACCCAAAATGAAGGAAAGAAAGATTTATTTAGCTCACAGTTCATGGAGGTTTCAGTCTATACTCAGATGACTCCAAGTCAGGGTGGCATGGCTGAGAGGCAACATGGCAGCTGCAGCAGATAGCAAAAGTGACAAGGGCAAAAGGGTAAAACTTGCCTCCTTCCATCCCTTGTATGGTATGCTGGATACCTGCCCCTGGGGCGCGGGGTGCAGTACTCACAGCACCAATCCCAGTGCTAGATAACCAATCACAAACGTTAGACTCGGCCATCTGCATGACTGCATGAGGCTTTGGGACATTTAAACAAACCATAACAGAAGAAAATATCCAAAATGGTGCATAGAGAGATAAAACAAAGAAAAACTGAAACATGGAAGATACAATAAGAAGCTAGAACAGGAAATTAGTATACCAGGACAGAGAAAAGAAAATGAAACATAAGTAGTAGTTTATAAGATGATTAAAGAACTTTGCACAACTGATAAAAGGCCTCAAATTACAGATTCAAGAACCCTTATAAGCTAACAGGTGATGTGTGCTGTAGTTAAGCAGCATAGGAGGCTGAGGCCTGAGGAGGCTTGAATTCTGGAGTTGGGGGTCAGTTTAGGAACAGGGCTGGAAAAAAGTGGAGGAGGGAGGAGCAAGGATCATAATCAGCCCCAACAAGATAAATGAAAACAAGGGCTGGAGGTGTAGTTAAGTGGGAAAGCATATGCTTAGCATGCATGAGGCCCTGGGTTCAATCCCCAGCACTAAAAAAAAAAGAAAACCATGATATCATATACTGCTTTCCCTTGCTTCTGTCAAATCTCTGTCTTAGGATAATGTTTGTAATTGCATTTAGGCCCACCTGGACAATCCAAAATATAAGAAAAATAATTATAAGATGTCCTAAATTTAATTACAGGATACTAGGGTAGAAGGGAGGGAGAACTGGAGAGAGGTTAATAAGTTAGCAGCTACCACCCAAAAGCAAGACCATTTCACTTTTTTTTTTTTTTTGAGACAGTGTCTTGCTATGTAGTTCAGGCTGGCCTCGAACTCATAGCAATCCTCCTGCTTCACTCTCCCAAGTGCTGGGATTACAGTTGTGTAACACCAGCCTATCTGTTTCACATTTTTGAGTGTATGTTAAAATATTAAATGCCTTCAAGACCTCCTGTGTGCTGCCATGAAATCACTCCATAGCTCAGGCTCATTTGAATTTGTAGGGATCGTCCTGCCTCAGCCTCCCAAGTGCTAGGATTACAGGTGTGTGCTTTCACACGTGGCTCAGATTTTTGTTATAAAAATCTTCGCTGTAGGTTTAGCAGACACTTTTCTGAATGTTGTCTAGCTTGGCTGCTGGACAGTTATAGGAACTTGTCCCAAGAAGTTAACATCAGAAACAGCTCAACAAACCCTTTTACCTCAGAGCTCCCTCAGTCCCAAGAGTTTTGATTTAACAAGGACAGTCTCTCCATTTTAAGATTCTTAATTACATCTGCAAAGCCCCATTTTTTTTGCAGTGTAGATTTACAAGTTCGGGGCCAAGGACCTGGTATCTTTGGGGGGCCATTATTCAGCCTACTATAAGGTAGTAAAGCATTTGGCACACATTGAATAGTAATCAAAATATTTAATCAGCAACACAAGCACCAACCAATAAAACCAGTAAGCATGGATAGCTCATATAAACACCCATAATGGAGGCTGCCTCTGGAAAGCAGCCAAACACTTGCTGTAGCCAGCACCCTACACACAGAGGATGCAATGAATAAGTGCTACTTCACTGGGCCCCAACTTGACTGTTTCAGTCTCCTCTTTTGAAATGCCAGGGCACGTCTTTGCCCATTTATCTGTAGGGTCTTGTATGATACTCTGTTATCTATTTGAATATGTCATATATGGAAGATACTAACTTTGCCATACTGTGACAAAGTTGAAATTTTATTCCTTTCCCTGTGGAGGAAAAGGAGTAACTTTAGTTTGCAATAAACCAACAACAGATGTAAGGAAAAAAAAAACATACGAATTATATTGCATATGTAAAGCATGGGAGCATGAGACTCAAAGAGAGCCAAGTGGCTGAACCTTACACAGATCCTAACAAAGGAATAGGAGCTTGGGAATTTTTTTTCTTTTTCTTTTTTCTTCTTCTTCTTCTTTTTTTTTTTTTTGCTACTGGGGATTGAACTCACAACCTCAAGCTTGCCAGGCAGGCGCTTATGCTGCTGAGCTAAATCCCCAGCCTGGGAATTTTTTAAAGATAGAGCTTTGCTGTGTAGTTCAGGTTGGCCTTAAACTCTTTGATACTCCTGCCTCAGT